TTTCCATTTTTGGAGAGGATATAGGATCTACACAGCCAATAAAAAGTTCAGCGACTAAGTGACTTGCACTATATAAAAATAAACGTAATTTAAAAAATTAATATAATGGCAAACAAATTTATATGTATATATATTTATAAGAGGAAAAATATAAAAAGAGTCCAATATAAAAACCTATGATTATCATCAATCACACATTGTAAAATATAATAAATTGTATGAATGTTTGTAAATTATTTTTATAAAAAAAATTTTATAAAAACTCTTTTTTTTCTATTTAATCTAAAGGTAAATAAATGGAAAATGAAAATAACATGGAGATTAATGAATTGGGTGAAGAAAATATAACAAGTGAATTGAATAATTCAGAGGAGAGGGACAAAAATGAATCTAGTGAATGGTGAAAAAAAGATTGAATGTTTTTATACAATATGATATTCATTGTTTTCTTTGTCGGAAGAGAATGCTCCTTTACTGTATGTTGTTCCACCTGTAGATTGTTCTGAATTCTCTACAATTTCATCTATGACTCCATTATTTATAATGGAAAAAAGATTAGATAAATAATTTATATATAATTTATTAAAATATAAAATATATACATATATTATAGCCCATATATTTTTCTATTATTTTATCTGGTGGTAAATATTCTGAGCGGAATGGAGTCTCACGTTTATTGTTTAAACATCTGTCTTTATTATGACCATTGGACCAACATTTTGTACAAGCTGACTGATATGTTGGAAGTATATTTTTACATGTCTTCTGAATATGTCCATAATAACCACAAGCCTTACAGGGATTAATGAAACAAGGTAGAACTGGCCGCAACCAGTTTTCTCTATTATTTAATTGAACTTCTTTTGACATATAAATAATTTGGTTTAATGGTGATGGAGAAAGCTTCATGATTAACTCATGTATTAACTTTGTTTGGGTTTCAATGGTTTTTGCATTTTTTTCTGATACTCTCAATAGATTATCGAGCCTTATTTCAAATTTGTCAATCATAGTTATAATTGTTATGCCGTTGATTCTTAAATATAAAAAAAATTTTTTTTTTTCAAGCCTAGCAACAATGATATTTTTGATGACAATGATGTTGTTGGTGATGTTGATGATATTAATGATATTATTAAGTTGTCTTTAGATGCTACGTTGTGATAAAATATGAAAAAAAGTTGCAATGTAAAAGTATGATCAGTGCAATGTTGTGATAATATTAATTATATAAGTATTGAAGTCTTTAGTGCTACATTGTGATAATATATAATTATATAAAAAGAAAAGTTAAGTTAAAAAAATGTTTTTTAGCATTTTCTAAAGTGTTAAAGGTAACAAAATGATATTAATTATTACTATTATTATACTAATACACAATGTCATTAGATATTAATATTATTAATTATTACAGCTGGCTGGCTATGTGTTATTATTAAAGAGGAAAAGAGGAAAAGAATAACGAGGGAATTATTGAAGGTAACAGAATTGATTGATATATATATGTTGAACAATTCCTTAAATACATTATGCAATATTAATATAAACAAAACAAATTTGTTATGTATATAGGCTCCTCTCAAATAATTTATTATGTAATACCAATGTTTAAATTTGCTGCACCTCCCTCCAACCCATTAAAGGAGGCAGGGCAAGTCTAATGTGTGTAATTAAAAATATTACATAATTATTTGTTTTCCAAATTAGAAAAATAACTCATGAAAATAGGGATACAACACTTTTCTGGTAGAACAAGCCACCTCAGATCATTTCTTAATATCACTTTAGAATACTTTATCAGCTTAGCATTTTGAAAATTTCGAATTTTGTCATACACTTTAAGAAGTAAATTTCATGTAACAATTTTTTTTCATAGAATATTTTCTACAACATATTGGGGTTGGTCAATATAGAAATTTATTATATGCGGATTTTTTAATGTTACACATATATATATCATCAAAACATTATAGTAAAATCGTTGAAGATTTAGATAAACTTTAAAACGTAAAGGCTCAATAACCAA